AAAAATGATATAATTTTCTAATAATTCTTTTAAAGGTAGGATTATTGTTATTTTAAATTATCTAAAAGAATATTTCATATTAAATGAAATGAAACGGCTAAGAAAAATCTTGTGACTTACAAGGAATCTATTTTTGCACCATATTTTTCGTCATAATAAAAAAGATAAAGATATTTTTAAGAGAATGATAATTAGTTCCGATCCATATCTGAGTAGTTTGGCCATTACAAGAAAAAAACAAAGTTAAAAAGGTTTGATATACGGCAGATGAAAATTAATCCGAAGTTGATTTAAGTGAAACGGAAGAGTCCGATTATAAAATTATATATTGTTAATATATTTTTTTAGAAAAATATATAAACAACTTTTATTTTAAAATGACACCCCTTTTAGGTTTTAATTTGGATAAAAAAACAATTTTTGTTATTGGTTTTAAGTTAAAATACATGTATGCATCATTAGACTGGGCCAAAAAAAATCTTTTTTTTTAAGTATCGAAAATATGGTTTGGGTTGACAAAAAAATTATTGTGAAAGTTTGAGTCCATAATATTAATATTAAGAGGTCTATCATCGCAATTTTACATTTTTTTCCTCAGCAAGTTTTTGTCTCAGAACTCCCAATCTATTGAGTTTAACAAAATTGACTCAAAATATTTTTTTAAGAAAATTAAATGCTCTACAAAAAAGGTTAAAATGAAATTTTCCGTCAGATGAACCGATTCCTTAAAACCATGCCTTAAAAATTGGTATAGTTTTACATTTTGATCTTTTAACTTTGGAATTTTGTAATTCATGTAAAAATCAGTACTTACCCAGAAAAATATTCTTATGGCAAATCAAATGCTTTACAAAAAAAGCCTCTTAACATTTTATCAATAAAGATAAAGATTATCATCGATAAAAGAATTCAAGTTTTTAACTGACCCAAAAAAAAATCTAGAGCGGAAAAAACAAGAATTTCGTTTTGACTTAAAATTTAACCTTGAATAACTTTTAATGGAGTGAATTTAGCAAAAAATGTTAGAAGACTTTTTTTGTAAAGAATTTGATTTCCCGTAAGAATATATATCGGCTTTTTTCCAGGTACTGATTTTTACAAGAATTACAAAATTCCAAAGTTAAAAGATCAAATTGTAAAACTATACCAATTTTTAAGGCATGATTGTAAGAAAACGGTTCATCTGACGGGAAATTCCAATGAAACCTTTTTTGTAGAACATTCAATTTTCTTCAAAAAATGTCAATTTTGTTAAACTCAATGGTTTGGAAGTTCTGAGACAAAAACTCGCTCAAGAAAAAAATATATAAATTGCGATGATAGACCTCTTAATATTAATTAATATTAATATTAATATTATGGACTATGAATATTATGGACTATTAATATTAATATTAATATTATGGACTCATATTAATATTAATATTATGGACTCAAACTTTCAACCCCCCTGTAAAGGGTTGTTAAAAATAAGTTGGGTAAACAATATTTTCACTTCTGTATTCTATGGCTCTTTTTATGTAATTATACAAAATTTCATACAAATTGGTAATTATTAAATTAAGTTATGGAAAAAGTTCGTTTTCACACGTAAATTGGCAAAAGTGCGTGTTTTACTGTCCATAGCTTGAATTTTATATCCAAATTTTAGTATTAAAATACTATAAATAATAAACATTTTGTCATAGGTAATCAAAAAAAATATATCAAATTTTTCCCCAAAAAATAAAAATTTTAAGTCGAGAATTCATCTATCTTGTGGACACACTGTTACAAATAACGTTTTAAATAAATAAATATTATATTATATTTAATGACATAAAAACTATTTAATAAAATTAATAGATGTTCAGTAAAATAGTAAAATTATATTAAATACATTATATATTACCTATATACATATTCGGTGAAACTTCGCTAAAAAAAGTTAATTTGTTCAGTAATAAGTAGTTGCTTACTTACCATAAAATAGAAAATAAGTTTAAAAAAACTCAGGTGCAATGAAGATAAAATATATTTGCATAACAAAGTAACAAATATGGTCTTTTGTTATAATAGGGCAATTAAAAGTTCTAATAATCTTTACTTTTTAATTAAAAAATAGAAAATACTTCAAAAGTAACAAAAATTATTTTTATAAATATAAATAACAAACTTAAACTAATTTACACTAGTTTACAAAATTCGAGAGGTGTTCCTCATTTAACCATAACTGATGCTGATTCCAAAAATATATTAAATAAACAGTTAAAAATTACGGTCAATTTTGAAAGCAATATAAAATTTAATTTTTTTCAATATAAAATATTTTTATATTTTGTACAATTCTTTTTCTAATGTATTTTAATATTTTTTGTTATTTTATCTATTTTCCGTTCATAATGACTTCATTATAACACCGCTTTCGGTAATGAGATACTTTATCCCACCCAAAATTTTGATTTTATAGGTTGGCTATAATATTTTGCATATTGGTTATAATATTTTTATGATTTTTCTAGTACTATCAAAAAAAAAGTTCTACATAGTATGCAGGCGAAATAAATCTTAAAAACCTATTTTTTCATGTTAAATCAATGGCAAAATTTTAAATTCTGTGATGGACCTTATAAAATTAATATTAAAGACTGGACTCTGTAAGATTTTTGTAGATAATTTAATGCTAAAAAACGATCAGTGATTGTTTATCAAAAAAAAAGTTCTACATAGCAGGCAGGCGAAATAAATCTTAATAAACTATTTTTCCATGTTAAATCAATGGAAAAACTTTAAATTCGATGATGGACCTTTTAAAATTAATATTAAGAGCTCAAATTTTGACAGAATTTTTTTTTCATCATAAGTGACAAGAATTTCATAATTTATATTTAAGTTTGGACATTTTTAAGAAATTAGTAAAAAATAATTTTTGCACAAAAATAACCTTAAAATCAACCATTTTTATATTTGAGTTCTCTAAAAAACGCCGACAACTGCATTTTAAACAACAAAATATACCTAGGAATTCATGGAAACATAATATTATATATAATACATAATATAATGGTATTTTACCGTTGATGGAGACTTTCTTAATCAACGCTTTAAATAATGCTAAATGCTGTTTAAATTTAGACGACTTCTTTGTTTGACGATTTTTACTGAATTGAAATGTTTACACTTTTCAAGTTAATCACTACTAAAATGTGTATTTATTGTATCTAATAGGTACAATTTATATTTACAGAGACTGTATGCAATTTATTTCTTTATTCAGATTAACACTGTTTATTGGAAAACCGGTAAAAACTTAACCCAGGATTTCCTCTCTAAATACACACAACAACACAACAAATCGTGCCACGGTTTTTTTTCCTATATTTTTTAACATTTTCCGGCTTTATTCTTAAAAAAACTCGTTTGTAACATAAGCGTTTGACAGCTGATTATTAAAAGTTATACTTTTGTTACGATGATAACAGCCGAGTGGTGGCGCTACTAGCGATACTTCTTTAGCGTATACATTTAGAAAAAAAAAATCAGCACGAAATGTTACCTTAAAAAAAAGGTTCTGGTTAAACGAGGAAATTCTTGTAAACTAGTGTTAATGGATAAGCATAAGTTTGTGTCCATTTGGTACAGCCTTGGATTTTGGAGGTTCATTTGGTGTTTTCAGTCAGACTACTAACTAGCATAGCAAACCAGTATTTTAAGGAATGCTGGTCAGTTACACTGTTCCACAATCCATTTATCTTTATCTTTGGGTAATTGGTAATCCACATCTTAAACATCACAGTTTGAAACTAATCATATACACTTACGTGCAAAATAATCGATCCACACAAATTTTCGATGAATTTCAATCGCAAATAACTTTTTTATTTGATGTCGGATTTAAACGAATATTAAAGAATATTGTAGATAAATTAATGGACAATTGCTCACATTTTAAAAAAATACTAAAAAATAGACGTACGTTTATAATATACAGGTTTAAACAAAAAGATGTTTTTTACCATAAGTTTAAGACACTCTGTCTGGCAAAACCGTATATTGTTCTAAATTAAGTTTTATTTATCAAGTCACATCTATTCTTAACAGTTTTGTTTTTGGCTCACCTCGATATATTTATTTTTGTGGAAAATATGGATTTTTTTAAAAAAACATTTGCAATTTCCAATATTTTTCCTGTATGAAGAACTAAGGTTGCTATGGTCCATCCATAGCCTATGGAGAATGACAGTGACAGTTTTGTTGAATCATCCCATACTTGGACATGTCATATACAGCTTTCAAAAGCTATCAAATTGTTTTTTTTGTCTTCTTACTTTTAAAAATGTCTCCGACTGATGTTGCCCTTTGTACTTTACTTCTTATGACGTTTAAAACACTTGCCACGTAATACTGTGACCGTCCATCCTGGATTAAATTAATAGCTCTGGCAACATCAGTCGGAGACATATCCATTTTATAAAGTAAGAAGACACCTCAAAATTTAAACATTAATTTGTAAAAAACAATTTGATAGCTTTTGAAAGCCGTGTATGACATGTCCAAGTATGGGATGATTCAACAAAACTGTCACTGTCATTCTCCATAGGCTATGAATGGACCATAGCAACCTTAGTTCTTCATACAGGAAAAATATTGGAAATTGCAAATGTTTTTAAAAAAAATCCATATTTTCCACAAAAATAAATATATCGAGGTGAACCAAAAACAAAACTGTTAAGAATAGATGTGACTTGATAAATAAAACTTAATTTAGAACAATATACGGTTTTGCCACTCTACAGAGTGTCTTAAACTTATGGTAAAAAACATCTTTTTGTTTAAACCTGTATATTATAAACGTACGTCTATTTTTTAGTATTTTTTTAAAATGTGAGCGACTGTCCATTAATTTATCTACAATATTCTTTAATATTCGTTTATCGTGTGGATCGATTATTTTGCATGTCAGTGTATATGAAAATCTACATTATCCGTTAGAAAAAAATATTTTTTAATTTGACTAATTTTTAAACTTTGAAGCATTCTGCAATGTGCCTATCAAAATTTTTCTTGATTATTGACCGAAAATCGCAAGTGTCGCACCAATAAATGGGCTGCGAGAGCAACTGACTGTTTTTCACGACTAATTCTTTATGTTGTATGGTAATGTGGCGGTCTATTAAAGCCTGCGTGAGCGAGTTGTAGTCGCAAAAATTGCACTGGTAGGTTGTGTAGTTCTTGTGGAGTCGAATGTGTTTTAACAAGTTGGCGATTCGAGCAGATTTGTGCGGACACAACTGACAAAAAAAATAATCCTTGTCGAAGCCAAAACACACATTAGCATGTTTTCCATACCTTGAAGAACCCACACCATAATTCAAAACCTTTTTACAATTGTCACACTTTTTAAAGTTGTTTGTGATGGTTATTTTCCGTTCTATCTTGTTTTGCGCTTTGTGCATTGTTTGTACATGAAAATCCAAATTTTTTTTCGTGTCCAACGCTTCGGTGCAATAAGGACATTTTTGAAACACACCTTCGTGTTTTACGTTTTGATGTCTTTTCAGGATTTTGTCGTAAGGTGTTTTAAAGTCGCAGTGTGGACATTTCTTAAAAATTTTCAAGTGTACAGCGTTTAAATGTGTTTTTAGAGTGAACCCACTAGTAAATACTTTTTCACAAATGACGCATTTAAATGAACCCCTAAAACAAAAATAGAAATTAGTCGTTTTAATATGTAACCATTAACACAGGAAAATGATTTTTGAAGCGTTAAGAATAAAATTGTGACGTCACACGGAAAGTATGAAGTCGCAACATCCATGCTACGCTACTTTTCTGGTCAAAACTAATTTGTGACCTTAATAATTGACCTAAAGCCTTGTTTTTGTTTTTTTTATTTTATTCAGAAATAAATGCTCTACAAAAAAAGTATTTTATGTTTTTTTGTAAACCTATCTATTCAAAAGATAGCTTATGTCAAAGTTTTAAACAAAATATATTTTTTTTTAAATTTTATATCTCACAGAATAGTTAGGATTTTGAAATGAGTTGGTGGTTTCAAAGATAATCGCGCACGCGGAATAATAATAAGTTTTGTTTAATATAAAGTCTATTCTGTATGCTATAGTGGTTAGGATAACATGACAAGGGTTTTTTAACAATGTTTTCCTAAATAATTGTCATTGGTATAAATGTTGTAATCAAAGATAATACACCCCATAGATTGGAAACTGCACTAGCGCTAGCGGCAAAAGGCTAAAGTAAATTAAAGCCATCTAGGTCTACAATACCTGTAGCAATACCAAGAATTGAAGTAGATTTCTGTAACATATATTGGCGCCATATTTGAATGTTGATGCTTCGTAGGGTGCCTTTATATATTGTATTTACTGCTGTATTTTAAATAAAACAAGTATGAATATAAGATTTATTTATTGAATTAATAATATAAAATTATAGTATATTCTGTAACAAGTTTAGAATACAGCATATTCCGCTCGAGTGAAGAGTTTGTCACACGAGCCGAAGGCGAGTTTGACGGTTTCACGAGAGCGGAATATGCAATTCCAAACGTGTTTCAGACTATACTTTTTCTACGCTTCCAAAAAATACTATAAAAAAGTCATTTGATTGGAAGAAAGTGAGGTTGGATCGGTCTAAAATTTGTTTGATATTAAAAACAGAGATGTCGCCACGAGTGTTTATTCTGTCATAGGATGATAGAGTATTTCATTCTGTAACACTTTACGGAATATATGTCATTCCATAGATAAAAGTGATAATAGAACGGTCAAATTCCGTAATAGGAGCATGTTGTATGATCTGTGAATAGGAGTAGAAAAATACATACATCTATATGTACAGGGTGGTCCACGTAAGGTGACCCATATACTTATCTCAGAAACTACTGGAGTCACAAAAAATTTGTAAGGAACAAATATTCACGAAGTAAAAAATATTTTTAAAATATTATATTTTCATTTATACAGGGTGTTCGGTTTTCCTTGGAACGATACCAACTTTCTTATTTTCAATGGAACACCCTGTATTTTTTTGCATTTTTGGATTCTTCCCACTCTTTTAGGTATACTTTGTAAATATATTAAATAAGAAAATGTTAATACTTTTTGAGTAAAATTAAGATTTATTAAAATTTCTCTAAATGTAGACACTCGCTAAAAGTTAAAAATAACCAACTAAAAGTTATTATTTTGTATATTATGTAGTATCCATCTCTTTAATAATAAGTAAGCTATAAGTTAATTATTATATTTTTTGGAAAATATCATACAGGGTGTTTTCTATGTCCCGTTGAAAATAGCGATTTTAAAAGTTAAAAATCTTGTTTTTCTTCAATGGAACACCCTATATATTTTTGCATAATTGGATAGAATAAGTAATTACCTTTCATTTTATATATATATGTCCTATACCTAAACCTAACAGAAAAAAAAATATTCGCATTTTTCACAATTAGTAGCTTTTTTCCAATTACCTTAGTTAAATTTTCATTATTCAAAGAAAACACCCTGTATAATATTTTCCAAAAAAATAAATTAATTAACTTATAGCTTACTTATTATTAAAGAGATGAATGCTACATAATATAAAAAATAATAACTTTTAGTTGGTTAATTTAGCGAATGTCTACATTTAGAGAAATTTTAATAAATCCTCATTTTACTCAAAAAGTAATAACATTTTCTTAATTAATATATTTACAAAGTATACCTAAAAGAATGTTTAGAATCCAAAAATGCAAAAAAATATAGGGTGTTCCATTGAAAATAAGAAAGTTGGTATCGTCCCAAGGAAAACCGAACACCCTGTATAAATGAAAATATAATTTTTTTAAAATATTTTTTACTTCGTGAATATTTGTTTCTTACAAATTTTTTTTGACTCCAGTAGTTTCTGAGATATGTATATGGGTCACCTTACGTGGATCACCTAAAAAAAATATTCGCATTTTACAAAATTAGTAGCTTTGCGCGTATGGTAATTATAATAATAATTATAGTAATATATATTTATATATAAAAGCATTTTTATTTGTTGTTATTGAAATTTATTTATTTGAATAATGAAAATTTAACTAAGGTAATTGGAAAAAAGCTACTAATTGTGAAAAATGCGAATATTTTTTTTTCTGTTAGGTTTAGGTATAGGACATATATATATAAAATGAAAGGTAATTACTTATTCTATCCAATTATGCAAAAATATTTAGGGTGTTCCATTGAAGAAAAACAAGATTTTAAACTTTTAAAATCGCTATTTTCAACGGGACATAGAAAACACCCTGTATGATATTTTCCAAAAAATATAATAATTAACTTATAGCTTACTTATTATTAAAGAGATGGATACTACATAATATAAAAAATAATAACTTTTAGTTGATTATTTTTAACTTTTAGCGAGTGTCTACATTTAGAGAATTTTTAATAAATCTTAATTTTACTCAAAAAGTATTAACATTTTCTTAATTAATATATTTACAAAGTATACCTAAAAGAGTGGGTAGAATCCAAAAATGCAAAAAAATACAGGGTGTTCCATTGAAAATAAGAAAGTTGGTATCGTCCCAAGGAAAACGGAACACCCTGTATAAATGAAAATATAATATTTTAAAAATATTTTTTACTTCGTGAATATTTGTTTCTTACAATTTTTTTGTGACCCCAGTAGTTTCTGAGATAAGTATATGGGTCACCTTACGTGGACCACCCTGTACATATTAAATACATAATCGGTATAAATGAATATGTTTTTTTTTGTGGAGTGCAAACCTAAAAAATATTAGTCTTAATTCTTCAATAATAAGAGAATATTGCAAAATTTGGTTATTTAGTCCAGGCTACTTATACATATACATATAGGAGTTTGTACAAGGCTTTTGAGTGTGGACTTTGGCAAGTTCCAATCAACCGTGAAAAATCCATCTTGGCAACTATTGGTTTTGAAACAACCATAAGTAGCCTGGGCTTGGCCTGGACTAAATTACCATTAAAGCGATCCTAAATAATTCATAATTAACAAACAGTATTTTTACGCTAGAGCGATACTGCCGTGCTTAGTCAAAAAGACGCAACTCTACATTTTTACTTTATAAATTATAGCGCTTTATTGTTTTTTTCTATGATACGTTCAATTTAATTAGAAATGTTTAGGACTATCGTACTTAAAAATGTATGTATAGTTAAAATGCGTCTTTTTTCTAAGAGAATAATTTAATAATAACGAGATTAGTCTTTTTGGTTTAGCACGGCAGGATAGTCAATACTTACAAATTGGTTATAGTAGAGGATCCCAAGTAAGGTCGACCTTCACTCATCTGCTTACCAGATGAAAATTATATTTTATCAAATAAAATATGTTTCTGAACATATACCGATAGGGTTGCCATAAAAAATATGATCATGGCTATAATAAATAAAAAATTAAAAAAATAATTTTTTTTTAAAATTTCACCGACTTGCTTGCCAAATGAACGAAATTCCAATGGAAAGCATACAACATACAGAATATGTAACAGCTAGGTTGCCTACCTTTTTTTGGTCCCTATTACCTGGTTGCTGTGTACAAACAAGTAAGTTGATAACAGTAATTGCACTCATATGCTTACCACTTGAAAAATATATGAAAATGTAGGCAATTTTATTACGAATGCAGTAGTATAGGGTTGCCTTGAAAAATCCGTTCATAAATAACGGTTGCTAGACTTTTAAATTAAAAAATTGGAGCAAGCAAAGATGTATGACAGAGAAGCATTGCGCGTACTATTTGATGCGATAGAGGAGGACTCAGTACAACAGCATGCTTTCTACTTATATAAAAGGATAAAACCAATATCTGTACCTCAGAGCAAAAGGGTATTAAGTCCAAAATTTAAATTTTTTGGTTTTTTTACTTACTTCGATTCAAGTTTTGCAATCTTTTTACGAATTTACCTTCAATTATGTTTGGACTTAAAACGACCAAAATACCATTTAATAAAGGTATTAGTACCGCATAACTCCAAGTGCAAAACAAAATTTTGTTTTCGCTCTCCTGTAAATATTGGAGCAAACAGTCAGTTTGTAAACACGTGTTTTGTGAAAAAATAAAAAATGGCGAAGAAGTATTTTTTATGCAAATCAAATGATTCTGTGATTGATTTTAATGGAAAAGATTTTAAAAACTATTATTTTAAATTAGTATGCCAAAAATCAAAAAACTTTGAATAAATCAAGATACAGCTAAGATAAAGAAAACATTGTTCGAAAATAAAATGTATTAACACGTGTACATGTACATGTTTAGTATGAAAATTTTAAATCTTTATTATTAAACAATAGATACATAGAAAAAAAGTAATTCAAAAATATTTTAATAATATAACATTATTCAGGATCAGAATTGCCGGAAGAAAAACTGTCTTCCAGGTCGGAAGAAGCATATTCATTTTCTATTTCGGTCATTTGTAAAATATCGTCTATTTTTAAAGGTGTCTGGTCTCCATCAAATCCAATCGGTTTTAAATGACCATCGAGAAACCAACCGCAATTTTCAGGGCATAATTTAAAACAATTAGGATTAGTTGCATGTAGCCACATTGAATTGACACAAATAGTGCGTAAAATTTTTTGTTTTAGTGATCTCCAGCATGGTGGTATCGTGTTCGAGTCAAAACTTTGAATTTTTTTAATGAATTTTTC